GATTAAAAGATTTGATTTCTTGAGTGACCATGTCTCATAAGAATATAAAACCCTTTACACAGTTAAAACGGCATTTGCTTGTTCCAAGATCCTTTCTGTTTTTATGAAGACGCAACTTCAGCTTTTATGAATATTTTAAAAACACAGCAACATACCCTGATAAATTTTTATACCAAAAATTCCTCCAACGGCTGATTGCTACATAGCCTACATCATACAAGCATATATGTGCATAAGAATGAATACATGTTCTACACATAGATACAATGAGCTTATGTCATGTATAGATTATATAGATAAAATGTATTATTGTTTTCAAATTTTATTGCTTGTAACTAAATAAGAAAACGGTAAATTGGTATATACGGAATCTAGGTAGCTAGCATAGTATATACTCAAAGCCTTGCTAAATAGGCAATAACATTATCTGGATCATAATAAATGTCGATATAGAGAATATTGCACAGATTCAAGGAACCTCAAATGATCTTTTCTTACAAAAATATCCTCTCAAAATACTTCTACCATCACTGAATATGTAACATGGGTTTTACTCTGAAGTGAAAAACAGAAAATAACATTAAGTATTGTCTTGGTCTACCAAACACTTAATGTTTAACATTACTGATTCTCACTTGAGCTTTCTTTTAATTACCATACATCAATAGCTACTCAAACAATTTAAGATCACACATCTACAAATAATCAAAGCATCAAGCCGGCCAGAAGGCCTAAAGCCTAAAGTTGTAAAGCAGAGGCAGACAAGCAGAGAACTAGAGAAAGCACTCCAGCACCAAAGGCAATTGTTTGAACTATTTGAGGTAAATTCCAAAATTGGGTTAATAATTTGATGTAAAGTTAAATACTTAATAAATTAGACTTAAGATTAATTAGTAGTCAGTTTATTTTAAAAATTATAAGGATAATACTTTACTATAGCTATATATTGATATTGTTTGTATTAGATGGTATTGGTAGTAGTAAATTAAGGAGTAGTTTTTTTTCGTCTTGTCATTTATTTAGAAGTTTTAGGTTTTCTTGTTAATCTATTTGTTTGTGTTTTTATTATTATTTATAAGTATGTATGTATTGTCAGGCAAACGGAAATTTAATTCGTAATATACAAAGAGAAAGAATAAGTTTGCATTTAAGAATTTATCCCTTTGAAAATTAAAAACATAATATCGTGCACTTTTAACATGCCTTTTTCATATGGTGTTCTTATTCAATTTATCTCATTTTTAATATGATTTGTGTACAGTGAGTATTTTATGCCTAGGGCCTCCGAAATGCTAGAGACGCCCCTGGCATCAATAAAGGTTTCAAACCTTTTAGGATGGAAACATACGCCTAAACAAAACTTAAGTACTTGATCCTTTGCATTTTTTAAATCTCCCTCGCAGCTCATGGAGGTTTTCCCTGTCTACCTCAGCCATACATAGCAGAGTTATACTGATTTTTATTTTCTACTCCCATTGTAACTATTTTTGTAAATGTCTCCAGCAATGGACATAATTGGCCTCTCATTGAATTTCTCATAGTTTGTAGTTTGGGGTAATTACTGTTGGGTGTGTTTCGGAAAATAAAGAAAATTAATTAAAATAAATTAATTAAATAAAATGACTAGAGGAAAACAAGAAAGGAGATGAAGCAGAATTAGTCAAAGCTCGTGCTACGCACGATGTCCTTAAAACGTATTTGTTGCCTCCCACGATGCTAGGAGCGTTGCAACAATCATTTCCCAGGATACGATGACTACGAACTAATGTTTGAGCACACAAACAAGAGTTCCAGCGAACGAGAACAAGTCTGAACACAGAATGAATTTTTCAGAATGCTAGCAGTGTGTTTTTTGAGGTGCAAAAGGTGCTTGGAGTGTATGAATTCGTGTAAGAACGTGTGTTGTTGCAAACCACCTGCCAGCCATTATATAGGAGGATTTGTTGTGAGTAAATGGTGAATTAATGGACCTGAACGTTGGACATCAATAACCAGTCCGTTGGGCATTGAATCGTTCATGAACTGTCCATTTAACGCTGCATTAAAAGATAAGAACGTTGGACATTAATTGTTGTAACGTTTCAGAAGTGCGACAGAAGACCTCCACCTGAACACCCCGGGAGGGGTTCTGATCGGAGGCCAATCAGAAGACCCCTGTGAGGGTTTCTGGTCCGCGACCACCAGAAGACCCCGAGGGGTTCTGGTACGCGATCACCAGAATACCCCAACAGGGTCTCTGTCCCGCGGCCATCAGAAGACCCCAAGAGGGTCTCTGATCGAAGCCTTCTGTTCCGGAGCACTTTGGGAAAAATATACGTTTCGGGAAGAAAACAAAAATTACCCGTATCTCTTAAGAGAAAGAAATTTGATCCGGTTATTGCTAATTATTGAATTGCTAATTATGAAACCTCTAATTATGAAACCTAAAATTCATCTTTCCGATTATTTGATACATGCATTACCTATTTTGTAAAATTTTAGATGACCAAAATATCAACTACGTAGTACAATTAAACACATTCAAAATTCACTTGACCCACTTTGTAATAAGTAATATTATTGGGGTTAATGTAAAATTTTGATTGAATTGGGGCATACCTTCTTTCCACTCGAAATTGCTTTATAGTGTATCCATATTTTAAAACATTTTTTTTGTTTTATTGGGGGCATGTGCCCCCATTGCAAACTCACTACATCCGCCCCTGGTGTCACTTCCTTATGTCTTAATGTTAGTGGAAACTGTGGAATGGATGTAGTAATATTTATATGATTTTAAATCACTCTTACTTCATTCTCACTATATAAGATCAATTCAATATAAAAAATATAAATTCACTTTTCTTAGTAATCACATCACCTTCTCTTATATCTATATATTTATATTATGTTAAAGGGACGGAGGTAAGATAATAGAATTACAAAAATAGTGACATGTGGGAGTGTTTTTAAGGGTACACTTTCCACACTTAATATCATTATAATGTGAATGTTGTTCAATTCAACTCATCAAGAGGACAGTAGTGATTAACCTCCAATCAATCACTTAAGAAAGATATTTTATATCTAATAAGTTATTCGACTCAAATTTACTTCTCAGGTTTGAGACTTTTTTTCTTACTCCAACCACTTCAAACGTTGTAAAGTTCCCGATAAGAAACTAACTTTACTTGAAGTGAGCTAGGGTTGGTTTGCAACCGCTTTTAAAAAGGCACTTCTCAGCTTTTGGTTTTAAAAAAGCACTTATTTTCCCAAACACTACAACTTTTATTTTTCTCGGTTTCCGCGTCAAAAGTGCTTTTACTTTTTCTATTACACAAAAAGCACTTATTTTACCAAACACTACCCACTTTTACTTTTCAAAATCACTTTTTTCACAAACACTATCAACTTTTATTTAATCACTTCTCTCCATTTCATTAAAAAAAGCACTTTTTTAAAAGCAGAAGCTGTTGCAAACAGACCCGGTTAGGCAATTACAATATTTTCTTTTGGACTTGCTGGTCTGGTCTTATCCGGTCTGGTCTGAATTGGTCTAGTATGATGAATGTCTGGCCTCTGTGTATTTTATAATTATGGAAGTCTGGTTTGATCTGGTCTGACCTGGTCTGCATTGAGACTGAAAATATTACAAAAGAAAACCTCCTTAGTCCCAAAGGTTAGAGGATATGTTACCAATTTTTAAAATGAAATTCAACACATTACTTTCACCCGGATTTACATCTCTTAATAATTTGAAAGAAATTGTTAGTAGCTCAAGATTAGTATGATGATTTCACAATTAACCGATAATTAACGATTTTTTAAAATGATATTAAACACATCACTTTCAATATGCCGCAGGTTTTAATATTCTACTTCGATCAATATGAAAGTTGACATGTTAAATTTTTTCCTTACAAAAAAAATTATGAGTAGAGAGTTCTTGTTCTCTCTCTAGAAAGCGGAAGAGAATGTCTTCGTGCATTAGGATTTTCGAGTCGTGATTGGTCATCGGCTTGGGTTTGGAGCCGCGCAAAGTCTTAGGCGTCTGAGTTTTGTTTAGCTATTTCATCGAGAAAGTAGCAGAGAGATGGAGGGCAATACAACATGTGAGATGCAAAAACTTGGCCGGCAGAAACATGGGCAATTTTTGTTCTAATCATGATGAACGGCGATGCAAGAGACAGGAAGACGTCAGAAACGGGAAGGGATGACGAGATGAACAAGGAAGACGAAGTATTGACGCCCCTGCCCCCTCTTGAACCACCGCCTTGGAGAGACTGAAGAGCCAAGGGTTGGAGGCCGACGTTTCACGATGGGAGTTGGTCACCTGCACTTTTGTGCTCTATCTTTCGTTCAAGTTTTATTTCTTGCTATCTCTTACTTTTTATTTGGTTAATAATTGGAACTTGTGGGTGATTTTTGTTGTGAGATTGAGTTAAAGCAGTCAGACTAATCTGACCGATAATAGCTTCAAAGCTCTCGCATGTTCTGCGATTAGTCTCTCTCATTTTAGGTTGTCTATTCTGTCTGATCAGAAGTGATGAGACATGTTGGTTATACATAGTCTATAGAGAAAACTTGGTTTATTGATGATGTTGGAATGTTTCATACTTTCATGCTATAAATTTAATATAAGTCTTTTCGTTTCAAGAAAAACTTACATTATCTTGAGTTGGTGAGAATTGCAACACCATGAGATACAAAAACAACATATTAGAATGGATAGAATCTTTTTTCGACAAAATGTAAATTTGGCTTGAAGTGGCCTAGAATTGATTGAATTTGTTAACTTGCCAGTAGATAATAGCGGAGTAAAACATAATTCAATTTGCCTATATATGAACTTATTATTTGGCATACCAAATAAGTTAGTGGTATAGAAATGGCACCCAGAATCACATAAGAACCACTCCTATTACCAATGTTAAAGGCATATTTTGAATTACGAGATTTGGAAGAATTTACACTCCGTACGTAGTTAATAGTTTTGTCTATTACTCATGCACATTTCAAAAACTATGTTCAATTATCTAGCTTTTAAATGCAGTTATGCAGGTGTGTGTTTTTGAGAAGACAAGATTTATTAGTAGAGTACTGAATTGATACATAGATGCGCCCATAAAAACAAATGAAAGATTTAACAATAATTAACACATACATGGCATTCCCAAATTGGAAGATTCAATCAAAACATAAGAACTCTGAAAAATACATACTCATCAATCCAGCATTTGTCCGATTAATGATGCTTCTCTTGGTCCAATGAAGACGACCCGTCGGCTTCATTTTCGCCCTTCTTCGTCTTCTTCTTCTTTTCGGGGTGACGAGGCCCGGTTGTACAGTCCATAACTTCCAAGTGCACACCGGGATCATTAGAACTATAGCTTCCCCCAAACATGATGGAGTTATTAACCGCTTGAAAATTACTATTGACAAATGTTTTCATCTCGTCCTCGTTTTCGCCTTCAATCCCCGCCTTTCTCTCCTCCGTCTCCCCTTTCATGCTGGCTCCCGTGTTGTTTCCCGCTAGAGTGATGACACTACTTGCGTGGCTATCGTCATCTACATTATGATTGTCTTTCTGGCTTGAACCTCCCGCCTTCGGGCCATGTTTGTGATGATTGTTGGTGTTAAAAGCGGTCGTGACGCCACGGACCGTCTTTAAGATCTCATCGCCGAGTGTCTTCATCATATTCTCTCTGCCATTAGCGGTAAATGTGGAATCAGCTGGCATGGTTGGTTAGCTGGATGTAGTATATATGTTCTTTAATATTCCAGAGGCAGTTTTGTTAGTTAGTTTGGAATAGGACTGGCCGGCTGCGGATTTAAAGAGGAGTGCTTTGTTAAAGTTCATTAGGGACTAGGGAGAAAGAGCGATACTTTACTTAAATGGCAGTGCAAGAATATAATTTCTTGATGATTTAAGTACTCCTATGGTAATTGGAATAAAAGCTTTGCTTGAATAATGGTTCATCCTGAAATTCTTCTCCCTCGCATTTGTTATATACTTATATGCATTTTGTTTTGTTTGTCAAGTTTTCTAGATTTGATACCCAAATATATTTGATTCTTTCTTCAAATTTTGAGCAGGTGAGAGCCTAGCATGTCCATAGTAGCGCCTTCGGTAGTGATCAAGAAAATTAAATCGAAAAACTATTATGAGACAGATGGATTATGACATGTTTTTTTTAGAAAATGGGAACACATGGAGTAATATTTTTCTGATATTACACACTTAATATGTACAAACATCTCTAGGACATTTAATCAGTGAGCAAAAAACTAAAGTACGAAGTATTTGTTTCGCCTACATATCCCTTACACTTGCCTAGACTTTAAAGATTGGAGCCTTAGTTGTGCCGCTGGGGTTGTCCTACGCCTTTAAAACACTCAAAAAATAAATAGTTATCATTGAAATATCTTCTTATTTTCTATTTGGTATCACTGTAAAATTCTGTAGTCAACCATTGTTATTATACAGACTTCACTTTGTACACATTTGTACACACGTTTGTACGAGGAGGTTGTTTGTTGTCAAAAAAAAATATGTGACAGAAGAAAAAAGCTTTCAAAGACTATGACAAATGCGTATGAAAAAGAAACGTGTACAAAAGACTTCTATCTTAGAGTTAAATTGAATATGTCAGGCCATACTAAAGTAATACTCTATACTAAAATGTATATGTAATAGAAGATTTTTTAGACTCAGTTTTGAAATGTCAAGGCGAAATAGTTTTCTACTTTATTTAATACTCCCTAATACATCATGTAGTTGTGTGGTACTCCCTTCGTCCCATTGAATTTTGTCACTTTCCTATTAAAACAAACTTCATCACACAACTTTCACTTTTCTTATTTCTCACATACTTTGAACTTGACAAAGTCCACCGAGACGGAGGTAATACTATATAATAACGCATTCACTCCATGTTGGTACTATTATTATAGGAGAAATGCTAGAGGTACCCCAAAATGGGGTACCCCTTTACCGGTGGGCGTAGCTCAACTGGTAGCGAGGGAGTGTCACAGGGGTTAGGTCTCGGGTTCGAATCCCGGCAACTGCGATGAGGTGTTACTATGCTGAAAAATGCATAGAGCTTCTGCAAGTACCGGGGACAGAGCCTCACTCTCTATCTGTCAGATTGTGATTGTAGTCCAATTTACATCCTCCCATCGTGTCGTCCGGTCGGTGTTGGGGGCCCTCAGGGATGGGGTATCATCCTTTCCAAAATGGGGTACCCCATTTGTACCTCACTCTATGAGTGGCTCACAAAACCCCAACCCCACAAAACAATTGCCCCACTTAAATTCATTGCTTTTCTTAACCACAAAACTAGGGAGGAGGTACAAAATGGGGTATAGAATGGGGTAGCTTTAGAATTTTTCTTATTATAGTGCATTAGAGGTACGTTTTTTCCCCTAGAGATTTGTGACCTGTTTTTTGAGCTGTTTTTTGAGCATTTTGGCTTGGGGTGTGGGCAGATCCGATTCACTGCTTTGAAGACTTGGAGTCTATGTTACCAGAACCGGATCGGTGAACGACCTGGACGAATGACCGGGTCACGGGTCAGCCCGGTCAACGCCGGAAAAACCCGGTCAACAATTATAAGTTACTACCTCCGTCCTCCTAAGTTTGAGATAAGAGAAGGTGACACGGTTATTAATAAGAGTGGGGTTATGTGGTTGATATTGAATTGATAAAGTAAGAATAAAGTAGGAATGATTTAGAACCACACAAACTTTACCAAATAAGGTATGAGACAATCTTAGTGGGACGGACCGAAATGGTAAAATGGGACAATCATAGCGAGACGGAGGGAGTATTATATTAGTATAATTATAATAATATACAAAATTAAAATAAAAAGAAATTTTGTATACATAATGGGTACTACAAGTGTACAATAAGTATAATACTCCCTGTGTCCCATAAAATTTTTCTCACTTTCCTTTTTGGGTCGTTCCAAAAAATTCTTCTCACTTACCATTTTTAGACAATTTGTGTGGTTCACATTCATTTCACTTTTTTCTTACACAACCACAACCATACATTTCCACTTTATTCCACTTTCTTAATCTCCGTGCCAAGTCAAACTGTTAGGGTTCTGGGATTGAGAACGGGTCCAAGGACGACTTGCTGTGGCAGGGTGAGTCGGTGAGGGCAAAACCTGCCGCCTAGGGTGACTCTTCTTCTTGCCCGTGGCTGGAAGAGCGCAGGGAGGAGAGAGAGTCCGTGACTTCTCTGCGAACAATTTCTAAAGATCGATAGATTTTATTAAGGCTGAATAAAGAATATAAATAGGCAGTCTGCCCTTTACATGATAGAGTTTTACTCTAACTAAAACTGTAACTTCTAATACTTCTATTAATAATAGGAAATAATAAATAAATAAATAAATAAATAAATAAATAAAATAAAATATGAAAATAGCATCAGGATAGATTCCTCTTCCAATTAAACTTCCTGCCGGCCCATATGTTTCCTCCTGCGATAGGGAATTCCATAAAACGCATCCGTAACATCACTCCCTCCCTCAAAACTGAGCTTGTCCCCAAGCTCAAATCCTGGATAAGCAGCAATAAAAGTGTCAAACGGTTCCCAAGTTGCCTCCTCAGCTGTGTGGCCTTGCCAATGGACTAGCAGCTCCTTCTCACCTCTGTTTAAACGGAAGTGCAGAACATTGGCTGGTACTGGCAGGGCCTTGCCGTCCTTCAGCGGGGGCAGCAGCCCTGGTGCCGGTGGAATACTCCCTTGATGAGGCTTTAGTAAAGACACATGAAATGTGTTGTGTATTTTGCTTCCTGGTGGTAACTCCAACTGATATGCCACACTGCCCACCTTTGCTAATATTTTAAATGGCCCATAAAATTTTGGAAGCAGTTTGTGTTGCTTAGAGCGACCTACTGTGAGTTGTCGATACGGTTGTAATCGCAGCCACACCCAATCACCTACATTAAACTGTAAGTCCCGATGATTATTGTCATATGCTCTCTTCATGCGCTGTTGGGACAACAATAACTGCTCTCTTGCGGTGGTGACAAGCTCATCACGATTAATGAGTTCCTTATCAACTGCCTCCAGTCGTGTGGAGCCTGCAGAATAAGCCAATAACCGAGGTGGTTCTCGGCCATATACCAAGCGAAACGGTGTTTCTCCTAGTGATGTATGGTAGGAAGTATTGTAACAAAATTCAATCCACGGTATCCATTGCACCCATTTTGTTGGCTTCTCTCCTGTCATGCATCGCAAGTACATCTCTATAGTGCGATTAACGACCTCAGTTTGTCCATCAGTCTGCGGATGGTAAGCGGACGAAAAGGTAAGCTTTGTTCCAGAGAGACGAAACAATTCTCTCCAAAATGTACTCATGAAAACCTTGTCACGATCAGAGACTATTGTTTCTGGCAGACCATGCAAACGGACAATCTCATTGAAGAAAATTGTTGCTACTGATGGCGCGGTATATGGATGGGACAAGGGAATGAAGTGAGCGTATTTTGAAAAACGGTCCACCACCACGAGCAGGACTGATTTCCCCTTCACTTTTGGCAGCCCTTCAACGAAATCTAATGAGATATTTGCCCAAATTTTTTGGGGTACCGGTAATGGCTGCAACAGCCCTGCAGGGTGTAGATTTACCCATTTATTTCTCTGACAAACTTGGCACAATCTGATGTAATCTCCCACCATTTTTCTCATACCGGGCCAATAAAAATCACGACGAATACGCTGCAAAGTTTTTTCTATGCCTTCGTGCCCCATATCATGCAATTCAGAGATAATCTGAGGAATAATTGGAAAGTCAGAGCCGAGGAAAACCCTCCCTTTAAACAGCAGCAACCCCTCTGCAAGCTTCCAGTCCTCTCCTAGTTTCCCTTGCTTGACCTTTTCCTCCATTGCAGACCATTCTGGCGAACCAGTTGCTTCCTTTTTAATTGTTTCGAACAAGGTGGTCATCGGAATAGTGATTGCCACACATTCTATCTCAATGTCCTCTCTGCGTGAGAGGGCATCAGCAGCCGCATTTAATCTTCCCGGTTTATATGCCACACGAAAATCAAATCCCACCAGCTTGCTTAGCCAATGCTGTTGCGGACAGGTTGTCAAGCGTTGCTCCAGGAGATACTTTAAACTGGAGTGATCGGTGCGGACCAAAAATTGGTGACCCCATAGGTATGGTCTCCAATGAGTGATGGCTTTAGCGAGGCCGATTAACTCTCTTTCATAAGCTGCCAACTTTTGATGCCTCTCTGGGAATTTCCTACTGAAAAAGGCAATAGGGTGTCCTTCCTGCTGGAGCACTGCCCCCACCCCGATCCCAGATGCATCACACTCCACCACAAATTCTTTCTGGAAATCAGGTAATGACAGCACGGGAGCCGAAGAGAGTAATTCTTTTAGCTTCTCAAATGCACGGTGCGCTTCTGGAGTCCACTGAAATGAGTTTTTCCTCAAAAGAGAAGTTAGGGGGGCTGCAATCTCACCGTAATTCTGTATGAATTTTCGGTAATAGCCTGTCAGTCCCAAAAAACCCCTTAGAGTTTTTGTTGAGTGAGGAATTGGCCATGCTTTAACTGAACTCACCTTTGAGCTATCAGCTTCTACCCCCCTTTCATTTATGACATGTCCCAGGTACGAGACTTGGGTTTCTCCAAACATGCACTTGGACTGCTTCAAGAAAAGGTTGTTTTGACGAAGAATTTCAAACACAAGTCGCACGTGATGAAGATGTTCTACCCATGTTTTACTGTAAACCAAAATATCGTCAAAGAAAACCAAGATGAACTTGCGTAAATAGGGGCGAAAGATGCTGTTCATAAGACTTTGAAAAGTG